AGGTGAAGTCAATTTCATTCACTAGAGTGAGCTCGTCACAGGACACACCTTCCACCATTTACTTTGGTCCTAGATTAACGACCTCAGTCTACAGGGTATTCTCTTCCTTCATCCTCCTTCATCAATTCTCCTTTCGGATAGTAGCCTCCTGATCTCACTTCAATGTCAAAGAAAAAAAAGTAATACTGTACTCTGAATTTTAGGCATGTCTGCTAGAAAAAATTTCATTTAATTTAACATTTATCTACTATCCAAGCTATGTCTAGCCAAACTGATACAGTCTCCCCATGCCCTTGGATATGCCCCTCCTCCAAGAGGGTTTGAGGTAACATTTATAGGAACTCAAAAAAGAAAAATTCATTGTATATTAAAATACAGTTTGGGGTTAATATTTCTGAACAGTTCCTCATACAGGTAGAACAATTATTCATTATTCCAATTCCTTCTTTTTTATATATAAATTAATTTATTTTTAGTTTTTAACATTTACTTCCATAAGATTTGAGTTTTAAATTTTCTCCCCCAACCTCCCCTCTTCTCTCCCCAAGACAGCATACCTATACATTAAACATATTTTCACATTAGTCATGTTGTAAAGAAGAATTGGAATTCCAAAACTTTCTTTAGGCACTCCCTTCAAGGAATGAATGGAGAAGGATGGATCATAGCACCATTACTTCAGGGGATGGGAAAAGACAATGACATGAATCAGACAAGAGGTATTCTTTGCTAAGAGTTTGGTTTCTCCTCTTTATCTATTTCCCTAAGCAAGGCTGTTTATTCTCAACCTCTTACCCACCTTTAGAGGAAGAGAGGAAGTGTGGAAAGGGCTATTAGATTAGAGAAATATCATTTCTTAATATTGTTAGAAAAGTTGAAAAGGAGGTTTTTAATAAGCTTTCACACCAAGGAATTCTGCACTGGGAATGGAATTATCAAAGGTCCCACCACAGCTTCCTCTAAACTAGAGAATAACATTCTGTTATCCTTGATTGCTATGACTAGTGAGTTGGCACCAAGGCCTGCTGCTCCTTTCTCAATCTCCTCCGACCACAGAGACGATGAGAGATAGCTGCCTCAAGTAATAGGTGGTTCAATTGTCTTGGAGTTAAAGATTGTGACCTTAAGTGAGGGGCAAGCCTACTACTTCTACTCTCCTTTGGATCCCTTTTTGCCCTGCCAGTAGCAGGCACTCAGGAAGTACAATTGACTCTTTTTGTAAATAACCTGAAAAGGATTGAAGAACTTCTAATATTTTCACATTTGGTTGGCTGTAAACAATTAGGACAACAAAAGCTGCTGCCTTCACGGTGTCAAAGTGGAAAGCATACACAATGGGGACCTGGGTCCTAAATCTGTCACTAACAACCTGAATGACCATAAGTTAATCATTTCTCTGCAGGCTACAGTTACTTCACCTGTAAAATGAGCATAATAGTGTTTACCCTAACTAGCTCAGAGGGGTGTTATAATGATCAAACAGCAATACCAGATGTTGAAGCAGCTTGAATCAATTAATCAATCATCAAGCATTTATTAAGTGACTACCACGTGCCAGGGATAGGTGGTAGAGATACAATGACAAAAATAAAATACTTACCCTCAAGTACCTTAAATTAAATAACATGTACTTATTTAATAAGATATAAAACTCATTCAAAGTAATACAAAGTCATACCTACCTCTTCCCCCCAGAACACTAGCAGCCTCATACAGGAGGTGATGCTTGGAGCCAAGCATGGAAGGAAACCAAGGATTTTAACAGGTGGAGGTAAGGAAGGGGCATATTCCAGGCACGAAGGACAGTCTGTCCAAAAGTACAGAGAAGGTAGAATGTTGTGTGTGAGGCACAGAAAATAGGCCAGTTAGGTGTGACTACCTGGTATAAACTTGGGCCAGCAATGTGTAGTAAATGTGGAAAGGTAAGCTACATACAGCCAGATTTTGAAGAGTTTTAAATGCCAAACAGAGAAGTTTGAATTTTAGTCTAGAGGTAATGGGGAGTCAGTGGAGCTGTTTGAGCAGAAGAGTGGCATGGTCAGACTTGCACTTTACACATATAATTTTTTGGCAACTGTGTTAGGTTGATGAGACGAAGAGGTGAGAGCCTTGAGAAAGGGAGGCCAAGCTACTGAAACAGTCCAGACAAGAGATGATTGAAGTCTCAAACTAGGATCCTGGGAGTAGAGAAAAAGGATGGATGCAGGAGATATTGTGCTGGTAGAATTTATAATACTTGGCAGCTGACTAGATGTGTGGGGTGAGAGAGGAGTCAAGGGTGACTCTTAGACTGTGAATCTGGGTGACTAGAAGGATAGTAGTGCCCTCAACAGAAATAGGAAAGTTAGGAAGAAGAGCAGGTTTAGGGGGAAATGTAATGAGTTCTGTTTTAGACAAATTAAGTTTGTGATTCCTAGGGGCCATTCATTTTGGGTGATGCAGTACTAAAGTTCAGAAAAGAGCCTAGGGCTGGATATGTAGATCTGGGAGTCATTTGCATATAGATGATAATTGAATCCACAGAAGTTGATGAAACCTATAAGCTGCTATACAAATGCATTGTGGTACTGGCATCACAAGATCATAGATTTAAATCTGGAGTGGACATCAAAGGCCATCTAATCCAACTCCCTTCTTTTACGGATGAGGAAATGTGCCCAAAGTAATTAAATGACTTGCTCAAAATCTCATATAGCAAGTGATAATGCTGGGATTTGAATAGAGGTTTCTAACTCCAAATCCAATGTTCCTTCCCCTTTATGATGCTGCTTTTTTTTTAACAAATATTTATAATTTACTAAATAAAGCAAATCTTTTTTTTTAAATAAAGCAAATCTTAAAGACAATACTTAGGACAGAATTAAATGTTTCATTCACACTTTGTGCATGAAACACCCAGGACCTATGAGATGAAATGAACGATTTACAGGGATTATCACAAAGCCCTGTAAACTGTCATATACTACTGCTTCAGGAATAAGCTATGTCACGTTCCACCTTGGGAACCCTACAATTGTGAAACAAAAGTGGTGAAATGAAGACAGTGGATAATCTGCCCAGAATCTAAATTATGCCTCAAAATACAACTCCACTGCCTTTAATTGGTTACTGGAAGAGAAAAGTCTGCCTCAGTTATGATGTGTAAACAGCAGCTGCCCATTCATTCTTCAACTGTCATTCTTTTTCCTCCCAATATACCTTTATTGCTCTTTCATAATTCATGTGTACTTTACTCATTTATGCTTTGTCACTTGTTTTGCCATTTTAATTTTATTTTGAGGGCTTTTCTTTAATGTATTGTCTGCTTTTCATTTCTGTATCAGTCTTCTAGAACCATTCCTACCCTCATCACTATCCTAATTAAAACGTGAATGTTGCATCTAACTCAATTTTCTAAAACTCATTTTTGTGAGTCTTGGGTTTGTTTGTTTAGAGTGTGTGTGTTTTGGGAAGGATGATTTGTAACTCATTTTGAAAACCCCCTCTGTAAAGCTTCTCTTTACCCACAGTGCCTGGTGTGTGGTAGGCACTTAAAAATGCTTGAATTGGATTGAATTGGTTCTTTTTACTATATAAAGTCTTCATTTTTCTGACACACAGAGAAGTTAAACAACTTTCTGTGGTTATAGCTAGATCAGTACAATTCCCAGGATCTGTCTTGGAACCTAAGTGTCTCTTCACAGAGAAAGTATTTAGAGTGTAGCAAGGTGCTGAGGGCTCTTCAGTGGAATTCAACACCAAACATTTCATCTAGAATTCATAGACTCTAAAAGGGCCAGAAAAGACCCTTAGAGATCAATCTCCCTCATTTCACAGGTGAGGAATCTAAGGTAAAGGGAGGAAAAATAACTTGGTGAAGGTCTCACAGTAAACTGCAAAGACTAGATTTGTATCCAGGTCAATCCACTACTCCTTTCAATAACTTTCTGCAATTTAACTTTTTAGTCTTATCTCTCACAGCTTACTTAACCCTCTGTAAAATGAGAGTATATATAAATGTTATATATATATTATATATACATATATATAATTTCTCAGGGTTGTGAGAATCTAATGACATAACAACATGAAAAGGACTTAGCAAATCTTTTTTTTAAGGCAGTTGGGGTTAAGTAACTTGCCCAGGGTTACACAGCTAGTAAATGTCAAATGTTTGGTCTGAGGTCAAATTTGAACTCAGGTCCTGTGCTCTATCCACTGCACCACCTAACTGCCCGCCCTCCCTCCCCCACTTAGAAGATCTGAAAGGTTATTCTTTCACTCACACTATCCGAAACTCGCTCAGAGTAGTGTTTTATCTGTACCAGCAAAGCCCCTTTCTACACTAAGTACTAAAAACTGTTTTTTAAAAAAAATTCGTTTACATATTTACACATATAATGCATACATGTATAAATGTGTATAGTACACATATAACATATGTGTGTATATACGTGTATCTATGCATATACGTGTGTTTACATATATACATATATGCACATATATAGAATTCAAGTTAAGTCATTCTCCAGAAATGTCTGCCCCTCACCCCTTCTACCTATCTATCTTTCAGAGGTTTGGGGTCCCAGAAGGTTTAAGCCTAGTAATTTTGCCCTCTCCCATTTTCTGCTATTTGCTTATCCCAAAAGGAGTGTACCAAGCCCCCAGGGTCATCTGGGAATAAAGGCCAGTTTGAGGAGCTGTCTGCATATAAATCTGTTGGGAGAGTAATTTTTGTAGGGTGAAAACAAACAAACAAACAAACAAACAAAACCCTCTACAAAACAAAGTTAAAGGAATTACTCCCCAGGGTTAATAATTGCCCAGGGCTCACACCTGTAGCTTTGCCACTATTTACATATTAATACCCTACTCTCTCCCAACGCGCACACACACTCTTTCTCTTCTAAAACTGTTACCCAGAAAACCATGACTTTTAAAACTACAGGGAAGAGAGGGCCTCAAAGGTCGGAAGGAGGCCAAGAGATAAACACTTCAGGCACTGGGCTGGTTCTTCCTACCTGGACCAATAAGTCTCCGCGCTGACATCTCTCTTCATCTTTTCAGGACAAGGTGCTTTGGACCCTAGCGGCGGTTGGAGCGACAACTGATGTTGGTGCTGATGGTGACAGTGGTGATGGACCGGTGAGGCCCCCAGTTTGCAATGCCCTGAGGCCATAGTCCCCTGGGGGAATGGAAGCAAGCTGGAGAAGCTCCTCTACGGATCTGCAGGGATGACTCGGGGGCGTTGTCCCATGACAGCAAAGCTGTATGTTGGCATAGCCAAGTCCAGCGAGCGTCCCAGGTAGTTTGCGGAGGACCAGTATATCTCCCGGGAGGCTGGGGCGGGGGGGGGGGGGAAGAAAGGTTGGGGACGGGCCGGCCAGTGCCCGGAGGTGCCAGCCCAGGACCAGCTCGGCCGCCGAACCGTCTCGTCCGCCTTCTGACACTCCCCCAGAATCTCGCGGGTCCGGTCCGGAAAGTGAGCCAGACTCCAGGGGAGCGCCGCGTCAAGTCCACGTGTCAGTCAGAGCCGCTCTTCCTGTCCGGGCGTTTCCAGGACGTGTCTCCCCCTGAACTGCCACAGCTGCAAAGTCCGGTTGGGCGGGGCTCCCTGCCAACTGGCTGCCTGGCTCACTCCAGCTTCTCAGCATCCACCTTCGGGGACAGCCAGCTCCAATGCGTTCCTGGGCTGAGCTGGGGAGCAATGAAGGGGCAGAGAGGACTGGGCCGTTTGGGGGGGAGGGGGAGGAATACGAGGAAGAGGCGTTCTATCCGCTGGCTGGCACGTTGCTGCAATTTCATAACTTGAAATATTCAAGAGCCCAAGCTGGTCTGTTTGCTTCCCCTCTGAAAGATGAGTTCGGGGACCGGGCCAGTAGGCTTGTAGCTGTAAGTGCCTAGCTCTAGATCTTCGGTGAGTGGGTTGCTTGTTTTAACTCAGTTTCTGTTACACGGTATTTGTTGAGGAGTTCAGGAAACAGCCTGGGGTGGGGAGGTGGGGGTGGAGGGCGAACAAAGTGGGGAAAGCAGGAGTTGCTGCAGAGAGGACTTCTAAGTCACCGAGTGACAGGAACATCCCTCATTTACCAGTGCCAGTATGGGAACTTGAGACGAGGAAAAACGGTGGAGAGAATCTAAAGGTCTTTCCTTCTAAGAAAGGGCTACTTTTTTTTTTTAATGTGATTTCACCGCTGTAGAGAGCCGCCTTTTTCTTTGGGCTTACCTAGTGCTTTCTAAAGTTCATTAAGATAGTCACATTTTTGCATTATGAGATTTTTTAAATGGCACAAGAACAATTTCCTCTTTTATTAGATATCACTAAATACTGAAAAAGAGGTCCGCTTTTGCTGAGGTTCTCTCTCCGCCCTCCGGGGTGGGGCGGGGGCAAGACGAGGACCTGTTACTTCATTGGTGCCGGGAGCTCCAGATGAGGACGTCCCTCCATCAATCTAGATCAGCACCTTCTCTGAAACTTCAGGTCTCGGAGTGGTTAAGGGATTTGCCCTGAGTCACAAAACCAGTGTGCACTCATATTTGAATCCAGGTCTGCCTAACTACCCACATTATACTGCCTCTTCCCCTTAAAAAAAAAGAAAAAAGCAAATATTTGCATTGTACTGTCGTCTGCCTCTGTGGATCCTTAAGCCACTGAATATTGAACTTTCCTGGAAGATTTATGCTGGGAGAGAAAAGCAATTCCCATTGTCCTTAACTAATCGCATGGCTTATAGCTAATAAAGTTTTACAAACACCTGTATGTTTTTAAGATAGCTAGTTTCATGGGCAGCTCAGATGTCAGCAACAGAAAAACTGCCAGACCTCAGGCAAAAATGTGAAGTTTCCCATGTCAGTCACCTACTCCAGTTTTCCAACCATTTCAATTATCCCTCCAAAGATATTCGGTATAAGATCTGTAGAAGTTGATAATGAATGAAAATGACATTCCAAAACCATTATCAATGCAACATAACATCTGAATTATTTCTCCACCTTTATCTATCAGCTCCTTGTGGCAAATGTTGCCACAGCTTGGAAGGTTGAGTTATTTTAATCCAACGAGTAGCAGTTATATAGACAGAAGTTCTCGAGTTGCAGTTCATAGTTGGTTTCCAAATATTAACATTAACATACCATTTGTACTGAGAACTGATACAAAATTTCTTTAAAAAATACAAGTATAAGGTAAAAATGGGTTTCTTGCAATGTGTTATTAGTGATTATTTAGCAAAACCAGTTATCAGCTAATTAGGGTTTATTTGAAAACAACATCATCCCTCTCTTTAGTTCTGTTCTTTGCTCCTTCCTATTGTTTGCCTATAATTTGTCAAAAATGGGTCTCTGTACAGAAATTTATTTAGGAAGGTGGTGCTAATATAAAAATTAGAAGTACCTGCTGATTACACCTTAATCATGCACTTTCCTCATGTTATCATTCATTTCAAAAACCTCTACCCTTTTAAAAATCCGTAACAATAGGCATAATTATTAAGATCTATCATGGTGGGGTTTTCTCAGAAAGAATAAAAACAAAAACCTTTGTAAGTGCCTTATTTTCTGTATACTCATTTATCACTCCCTCTAGGCTATACGGATAGATGTTCAATAAACAGAAAAATGCTCAATAACTATTTACTAAGTTACAACTGCCTCTGTTGTTATTAACAGTAATAAATTATAAGTTGTCAGATTAAAGCAGCAAAATTAACTTTTGGGAACTAGGTAATTATTTTGTTCTTACACAACTATCCAGTTTTGACAAGCTGAGTAGAAGAAAATGAATATAGGGTGCAGGAGACCAGAAATAAAAGGATTATAATGAAATGCCATCATAAAATAACACTGAAATTCAGAAAAGAAAAAAAAAGATCAGATCATATAAATTCGGTACAATTAATGTGATCTGTACACAGAACAAACTCCTGTTTTTGCACTAACTATGGATAGTATTTTACTTTTCAAAATAGTTTCATATGCATTATTTCAACCACCACCAATGGCTGGGTATTGCCTGTTTTAAAGATTAAACCTAGAATCTAATCACAATTCCAAGCACCCAATGTCAGACTCAAGTTAGTGGTAGAGCTGAAATTCAAATCTTTCTCCAGCAGTACCTAGATTTTGCTACTGGACTAGAAAGACTACTACAAAATGAATATAATGCCTTTCCTTACCCCTGATGGAGACATACATTTCTATATAAGGATTTGTTTTTTCCTGTAGATTGGTTTATAAAAAGTTCCCAAAGTCTTTATCAATTTTTTTTTAAACTGAAAGCTACTTCATAGAAAAAGTTTATTCAGATTGAGCTCAGGCAGATTCACAAATATAAATCAGTCCAGTGTTTTATTGATAGCCTAATCAGCTACAGTTCCTAATTAAGTTCTTTATGCCTAATTTTAACCATAAAAAACATTTTACTTCCATGAATTCTGAATTTGGAATAGAGGATCTTGGAAAATAAAAGGGACAATTTTGATTACATAAAATTTAAAAAAGGTTTTATACAAACAAATCTAATGCAGATAAGATTAGAAAGTTAACTGGGGACTAAAATCTTTGCAGCAAAATTTCTCAGATAAAGGCCTAATTTCAAGGATATATAAGGAACTAATTTAAATTTATAACAATGAGTCATTCTCCAGTTGGTAAATGGTCCAGAGATATGAACAGGCAGCTCTCAGGGAAAGAAACAGAAACTGTTTCAACATACTCATTCATAAGAGGTAAGAGGTAATGCTCCAAATCCCTATTAGAAAAATACAAATTAAGACTACTTTGAGGTTCCACCTCATGCCTATCAGATTGGTTAGCTGACAAAAAGGGAAAACGACAAATATTTAGGAGTCTGGGGAAAAAAAGGCACATTGATGCAATGTTGGTGGAGCAATGAAATTGGTACAGCTATCCTGGAAAGTAGTTTGGAACTATGCCCCAAAAGTTACTAAACTGATCCAGTTATACCACTGCTAGACCTATGCCTCAAAGAGATCAAAGATGAAAAGGACCTGTTTGTACAAAAACATTTACAGCAGTTCTTTTTGTAGAAGCAAAGAATCAGGAACTAAGGTGGTGCCCATCAACTGAAGAATGAATCAACAAAATATGGCATATGAATATAATGGAATATTGTACTTTGAGAAATTATGAAAGTTCCAGAGAAACATGAGAAGATGTAAAAGTTGATTCTGAGTGAAATGAGAATCAAAACAATTTATATAATATCACTGCAAAAATGAACAGCTTTAAAAGATTTAAGAACTCTAATTAGTGCAATGACCAACTACAATTCCAGGAAATTCCAGTAATGATGCATGCTATACATACATCTTGACAGAGAGGTGATACACTAAATATTGAGAATGATACATTTTTGGGTATGACCAACACAGAAACTTGTATTGCTTGATTATGTACTGTTGTTACAAGGGCTTTCTTTTTCATTCTTCTCCCCCCCCCCCCGCCGCCCCCCCCACCTCCCCACACCAAGGTGGGGAGAAAAAAAAAAGCTTGATAATTTGAAAAGTATTGGTCATGAAAGTGTTGTAGCATAAACTACTTACTGTACCTATGTCGAGACCTCATTCTAAGAAACAAAATGCAGTTGTGGTACAATAGCCTAGAGTACTGCATTTGCAGTAGGACGGCATGGGACAAATCCTAGCTCTGCTGACCCCAATATAAAATGAATTCCTTGAGTGCAGGATCTATTTTCTTTGTTATTGTATACCTAGCCCCTAGTATGCCTTTTCCATAGTAGGTGCTTAATAAATATTTGAACTTAAAATTTGTGATAGCATGAATATTTGAATGACTTTGGATAAGTCACTTTGTCTCACAGTCTAGTAACTTGTAAAATGAGGGTACTTAGAAACAATAAATAACATTTAAAATGGTTTATAAACATAAATTGATATATAAACCTATTGCTTTATGTCAGCTATCTTACTTTAGTCTTCAAATCACCCTTTAGCAGAAGTATTAACAGCCACTTGAGAGAGATACTGGTATGGAACTCCTGATTTCAAAGATTTGTGATTGAAGGGAACCTGGGAGGAAGTGGGTAGTTGTCTAAAAGACTCAACCTTCTACCTCTCAGTCAGCATCCCCAACAATTGATCATCCATTCCACTACTTGAAGACCTTTACAGAGGGAAAACTACTTCCCTCTAAACAGCCCATTCCACTCCTAAACAACTGTAATTATTATGTTATTCTTTTATCAAGGACAAATTTACCTCTCCAACATGTGTCCCTGTTAGTATTTTCTTGGGGCCTGGAACTTAGTCTTGGTTGTCAGTAAGGTAGTTTATTTTATAGGAGTCACCTTTAGGTCCTTCA